GTCCAAATTTTGTTTTTAAATTAAATTTTAATTTCATAACTAGAGTGCCATGATCATCCTAAAATGACTCTTTATACACTACTTTATTTCAGAAAAATACAAACTCAATTTTATCTTTGAAATTTTTTTTGATAGAGGGCTGTGAACTTCATTATTTTAGTATTTTTGCCCTAGTTCAAAAACTAGAATAGAAACATATCACTTTCATACCATTAATAAATGCAGTATTTTGAAGCAAATTCAACGATATAATACACTACGACATTTTTCTTAATTTTCGTTCAAATATTTTCATTTTATTATGTAGGTAACTTTTTTTTCTACTTAAAATTTAATTTGAAAACGAAATATGGACAAAACTCGATTTAAAAGTGGTACATTAGGACGTAAAACGATCTGTAGAATCCAAAAAACAAAATATATACAGGGTGTGCCATTTGAAAATCAAAAGTTCCGGTCATTTCCGGTGAAACCAGAAGTCAGGAAAACTTGTCGTGGATGCACAAAAATGGCGTTCCGTTAGAATATCAAGCCTACCAAGTTTCGTTGATATCGATGAACAAATAAAAAAATTAAAGCCGGAAAGTAATCTCGTGGGCACCCGGTAGATGGCTTGGTATTGTGGTTTGAAATAAATGGCATGCAACTTGACATTACCAAATGTAAAATAATATCATTATCCAGGAAGAAAAATTTGATAAATTTTGAATACAAGGCTAACTCTGTGCCCTTGGAAAAAGTAAATACTATAAAGGATCTAGGGGTAATTTTTGATCAGGAACTTACATTTACCAACCACATTATATAACTAACAAAGCATTGAAAACATTGGGATTTTTAAAGAGAATGCTAAGGGATTTTTCTGATTTGTCATGTTTCAAAAGGCCTATTCGGGTTTCGAAAAAGGACGGTTCTAGAACTGTTCAAAACAATCGCACAGTTTATCAATCAACAAAATGACAACGACTCGGCTATCACAAATATCAATACTAAACTGTGCGATGCTTTTGGATCGTTCTAGAACCGTACTTTTTCCAAACCCGAATAGGCCTAAAGCTTTATATTGTGCTTACATCCGTACTACGCTGGAATATGCATCCCAAGTTTGGTCACCTTGCTACAATATTCACATTAATCGGTTAGAGAGAGTACAACGTAGGTTTTTAAGGTTCTGTGCCTATAAAATGTCTATACCATCGGATCACATTATTTATTCGGATATTCAAGAATTGCTTAATCTTCCATCCTTAGAACAGAGACGAAAATTTATAGATATAATCACTATTTATAAGATTATAAACTATAGTATTGATTGTTCACCTTTATTGAGTATGATTCTGATAAATGTACCTCAGAGATGCCTCCATAGTTTTGACTTGTTTAGGATTGTACACCATAGAACGAACTATGGCAGATCATCGTTTGTAAATAGATCATGTGAATTGTGTAATGTTCATTGTTCAGATGTTGATATGTTTAATTCTAGTCTACCTCAACTAAAAACTGCAATGAAAAACAGACTGTTTTACTGTGATGTTAGTATGCCCTAAGTTATTTGTTTATTTATTTGTTATTATCATTTTTAGCTGAATTAGTTTTAATTTATATTGTTACATTATATTTGTAAAATTTATATTTGTAAATGGCTGGCTCCGTAAATAAACATATTATTATATATTATTAATTACCTTGCTCTAAAACTAGGTATTAAGCAAAAATTTTCAGTTGCCTTCCGGCTGCAGTATAAATAATGTAGGTACAATAATATTTTTTTTCCATTTTACAATTTTGGTTTTTTAGTATTTTAAATTTTAAACCTACATTATTACTATGTTACATTCATTTATTTTTTTCTATTTTTTGCACATGTTAAGATGCAAATAGTAAATATTCCATGCCATACACAACCTAAATATTGATATGCTACATTTTTATATACAGGGTGTCCCAAAAAGATACCGACAAACTTTAAGGGGTAGTAGGGGACATCAAAACAAGCATTTTTGTTTATATAAACATATATCCGCAAATGAGCCATTTGAGCTGTAGAGCAAAAAAACTGTTTGATACTTTTATTCTTCGCAATAATTAAATCACTGTTTACTTATTAATTTTGCTTTATTATCAAATAAATTATGGTTTACAATAATTGTTCAAAATGTTGACCATTTACTTCAATGCAAAGATTACACCGTCGGGTCATTGACTGAAAAGTTTAGTCTACGAAACACCTGTTCGTAATGAGGAAGATCTGATAGCAAGGATACTGGCGAGTTGTACCCATGTAGAAGCTATTCCCGGAATATTCCAAAGAGTTCGCGAGTTGAACAATTATTGTAAACCATAATTTATTTGCTATTAAAGCAAAATTAATAAGTAAACAGTGGTTTAATTATTGCGAAGAATAAAACTAGATACCAAACAGTTTTTTTGCTCTACAGCCCAAATGGCTCATTTGCGGACATATGTTTATATAAACAAAAATGCTTGTTTTGATGTCCCCTACTACCCCTTGAAGTTTGTCGGTATCTTTTTGGGACACCCTGTAGATGAGTATTACATTTAAGGTATCAAAAAATGATAAATCGTTTGATAGTGATTGAATCTAAGGTTTAATTGTGATACAGTGGTGCTAAAACTTTACATGGTAGAAGCAGAAACAAATGCCTTGGACGAAGAAGAAGGTAATGGCATTCCTGATCCAGAAATTGGTAGTTGGGTTATTGCAACTGTCTGTTTGTTGTTATGTAGGAAAAATTTTGAAGGACGTAAATAAATATCGTTTTTTAATGACTTTTGATGGTTTATGTCTGGATAAAAGCAAAAATATATTAAGCTATTTTTACTACAATATTACGAAAACTGTTTTACCTTAATTTGTAATTTTTATATTAGAATCTGGATTTTTCAAAATAAATCATTTAAAAAAATTAGGATCTATTTTTTCTGGCTGAATGGGACACACAAAACTTAAGAAAAATACACCCTAGAATTTGCTCTTAAGGTAAATTTTGGTCTTGGTCATAATCACAATCACACTATTACACGCCAAGCAGTGTCACATTTAAAACTAATAGAGTTGTTTTTTTAAAACTGTAAAAAGAACAATGGTAAGTTTTTTTCTGTTACAGGTAACAGAACTGAAAGTAGGTATGTCAAAATATAATGAATCCACTGTACCTAATATCAATATCAAAAGATGTTTTAGTTTCGCAAGATAACGAAAATAGAAAACTGGATCTAATGTTGGTACCACGGGGGGAATCACGGAACTCAAGTGATAAGATAGGTGAAAGTTTTTTAGAGCCAGTTCTTGGTGTTCAGACATAATTACCTTGGTGGCCATGGTCCTTATTCTTGAAACAGGGAAGCACCGTTCCAAGAAGAACGAGTGTTCCGTCTTTCTCAATGATATGCTAATGGTAATATAAGAAACAAAGAACGCAGCTCCCCGGTCTCAAGAATGACGACCTAGAGAGAAGGAGCTCCGTGAACAAAGTTTCTCCTCCTTACCAAAAAAAGCGAATAGGTGGTGGGATGCGAAAATTTTTGACGCCCCGCAAAAAAAACGCGCGTAATACGATTCTTGACGCGTAACATTTGGGTATGTTATAGGTGAATTCCTGACAAAAATAGGCAACTTTCACATTTTTAAATTAATCTGTTAGGTAGTCAGTCTAATAACATCTGTATACTTTTTTTCCAAAAAAAAAAGTCGAATTTTTAAACTGCTGCGAAAACGCGGGTTAGGAAAGGGACGTCACTTTCCCAAACATGCGAGGATGCCGAATTTCTCATTAGTAAACCATTTCAAAATATGGCTGATGAAAAACCAATTAACTATAAACTACATGTAGGTACCTGGAATGGCCCACCCAGCCTATCTATAGAATGAGGCAAATTGAGATGGACAATGTGGGGGATACCTATCTCAATTTACCTTATTATGAAAATCTTTCCTTGTCTAAAAAATATTATATTTAACGTTAGGAATATACAAGAAACCGCTCTTAGACCAAACCTAACAGCAATGTCAATGAACGAGAGAGAGAAAGGTATCCCCGCACTATATAGCTACAGTGGCTAAATAAACCTTTACATACAGTGGTGACAATAGAGGTCCCGCCGCCATCTTGTTCCCAGCCTCTTGTTACCTTTAAATATTAATATATAGGATTTAAATGAACATCTATCATAGAAAATTGAAATTGTACGTACTTGATGACCATTATTAGGTCCATCAAATATGTGTTTTCCATGATTTATGATGGATGTTCACCTAAATCCCATATATTCATATTTAAAAGTAACAAGAGGTTGGGAACAAGATGGCGGCGTTTTCAATATAAATATATGGGATTTTTGAACCAATCAAAAATGAGACAGCAATTGTCGCCACTGTGGGTAATAGAGTCACTGTATATATAGCTATCTTTGGACGCAGTGAGAGAGATGACAAATGCCATATCCGACAACGGTCGGTGCTATTCCAGGTACGTGTGGTTTATAGTTCACTGTAAGAAACTAGTCACAACCTATGACCTATTTTCGTCCTTTTCTACTTTATAAAAAAAGAAAGGATAGGTATAATCGGTGAACTCTAGCTACCTAGTAAAATGATCCTAAAATGAATCGTCATTTCTAATGTGGCAATAAGTGCATGAATGCTTTAGGCACATGAAAATGGACTATTGTGGCCAGCTTTTTGTTTTTTTTTTGGTCAATCCTTTTTGTCAACGCAGCCCCCCCCCAAACCAAAATCCTGGATACGCCAATGACATTGATACTTGTTCAGGATGAATTCCTGGATTTACGGTATTTACATTTATTCACGTGAGAACTATCATAGGTTCTAGGTTTAAAAGTATCAGCAAAACACATGCGGTCTCTGCACTACATTAGAAAATACTTGATGCACTGGAAAAACTACTTTTACTACATATCTGTGAACTGTTTTTCTATTATTATTGATTATTGAATAATGGCAATTTATGACTTACTATATTCACAGTTGCTTTGGCTATGGATCACTTGAAGGTTTGTGATGATGTCTCTGGTTGATTTCTCGATTTCTTTTATAATATTCCTGATAACCTGTGAATAATAATTATTGCTTAGAGTAGTATTGAAACAGGTAAAGTAGCTTTTTTACCTCCCTTACATCCTGTTCTGCGTTAATATGGTCTTGAAACGGTGAGAATATATCTGCTATTATTTTATCAGGTCCCGCCATTGTAAATTAAACTAAAATATCTAATAGAAACTGTATTTTACAAATCTTGTGTAGACTGTAGCTATTAATAATAGTATTATTATTATTATTACTATTGCGAGGCCGAACAACGAACAACTAACAACTAACCTCAAATGTAAGTACGGAATTTAGGGATGGCAAAGATATATCGATATTTGGCAAATATCGATATATTACTCAAATATATCGGTATATCAAAAAAAAATATCCATATAATCTAATCTTTTCGATGTATCAAATTTTAAAATAATAGAGAGATGTCGGTAAGGCCGTGTTTATGTTGGAGCTGTGATAAAAGCTATGAGAGCGTCGATAATAGCGGTGATAAGAGCTATTCAAAAGTATCCCTCTTCGATGCGTTTATGTTGGAGCTGCGATACTAGTCAAGCAGATGCAGTTGACCGAAGTGTTGCCTTTGAAAAATGAGTGATTCTGATAAAGAATCTCTACTATTATCAAAGAAAGTGTATGCAACTCTCATGTAATTGCCACTAAAACACGAGCATGTTATATACAAAACTCACATGCGACTCGTTTCGTTTTCTACAACATGCTCGTGTATTAATGGCTATCATTACATGATCGTTGCATTATATACTATTGTAAAGACACTCCCTCGTCTCCCTCGTTCACCCAGGAAAAATAATATTATAAACCTTAATCACAGATTACTTACATACAGATGCGAAAGAGCGGCGAATTCGTGGTTCAAGATTAATTTGATAGACATAGGCTGGCCGCACCAATGCCGCATCAATGTATTTTGAACATATTTATTATATAAATGCGGAAGCTCAATAATATAATATTATTTCTTCGCGCTATCTGATTCACCGATATCTCTCTAATACCTTCGCTCGTGCGAGTCGTGCGCATAGTTCATTGGTTGACACACTTAGAAAAATTTTTCATCGCCACAGTAAGTTTTTCCGCTATTCTAGCTGAAAAATCTATTAAAATAGGCGTTAAGAAAGAATTATGCTACTGCAGTAAAGTTCACTTTGCTGCATTCTCTTTATTATAGTAGTAAAGTATTTTTATAAAGTGTCTTTTCTAAACCAGGAAAGCTTCTTTTGTAAAATAGCAGAATCACTTTACAGAAATGGGCCAGCTGTTTACTATTATAGTATAGTAATATATTCTTTTCTACTATGAAAAGTACTTATTTTTATTTCAGATATTTTTTCTTACAATAGGAACAATATTATCCACCTACAGGCAAATTATTTATAGTTCTAGCAAGTATTTATGCTACCACAGAAATATGTCTTTCCAGCAGTTTTTTTTTTTTTTTTTTGTTTCTACTTAGTGCGGCTGGATCAATCGCTTGTTAAGTCCTTGTTAGTTAACAAAACCTTAGATTGTGTGGATGTCAATATGACATTGTTTTTGTGTGGCACATTCTAAGGATAATTTGTTAACTAACGGACTTAACCGACGATTGATCTAGCTGCACTAAAGATTTTATTTCATATAACCAACCTTTTGAGTTTTATTGGCCTTCAGCTTAAAGCTTAAACAAGAATTAAAAGCCTGCAAATTTCCTAGGAAAATCCAGCTTTCATAAGTTAAACCTATAGTTTTTTGAAGCTTGAAACTAGAGGAAAAAACTATTGGGTTGGTTATACGAGGTGGTAAAATCGCCAGTAGAAAGAATTTCTGTTGCTGGAAAGAAATATTTTTTTGGTTACAATAAATAATTATTATTAGAACTATGTACCGTAATAAAAAAAATAATCAAGTTGGTGGCCAAACGGTGACAGCCAGATTGAGCACAGAAGAACCAACACCGAGACTTTCTCACAGTTCCGTCGTCTATGAATGCACACTCGGAAATGCGAAAAGAAAAGATGGAGATGGACACGCTTCGCCAGGATTGGCGAAACGGCGGAACGAAGAGCTCCGAGAATAGTCGATCTGAAGTCTATAGACAAGTGCTCTACCGAATCACATAATGTTCTTTTCTAATGGTAGTAAAGTACTTTGCCATTCTTGCAAAAAATAAATTACAAATAATTTTTAGCAGTAATAGCAAAGCACTTATTCATTTTAGAAAAATACATTTCTGGAGAAGCAGATAGATGCTTGGTAAAAAAGGTAATTTCTGGAATAAGAAATAAACTTTTCTATTTCAGTATTACTACGGAAACTAACCCAAACTAACCCAAACCAGCCCTACAGGAAAATCTAGAAAGCCTTTTCACTGTAGGTCAAAGCCTGGGTCGTCAGAGAGTATCTGCCCTGATAGAGATACGATAGCGTATTAACTTTATCAGTCCAGATAGTTCCCCAACTTTGAGTCGTCTCTAAACACCTACTGATTGCAGCGAAGCGCTGAGACACGACTAATTTGCCATAGTGTGGCCCGGGCTTTTATATCCAATATTTGCTGACTATGATTAGGATAATTTGTGTTTTCTTGCTTAGTTGCAGTTATTTGTTATAACCCGTGGTTCAGTGTTTTGAATTTGGTTATAGCCCGTGGTCCCATGTAGGGTTGACAGTATTATGCATTTTCAGTAAAGCTGTGACTGAAAAGTTAATTTTACTGGCCCAAAAAAGTATTTTTATAGGTAGGTATCCAGAAAATTCTGCCTGTCCAGGGACGTCTTAAGACTTCTTGAGGCCCTGGGCCTATATGTCAAAGGAGGCCCCTTACCTACGGGGGGGAGGGGGTGCTCTAGGGCATACGACATGAATATGTAGAAATGTAATGTATATATTGTGGAAAGAAAATAACAAATTACAAAGGTCGTTTTCTAGATTTTACAGAGGCAAAATCGTGAATTATGTCTTCAAAATCAATGGTTTGTAAAATTGCGCTTTCAATACTCAACAAATCATCGATAAAAACATTCTTATACCAATTCCATGTTTTCTCCCCATTTCTACGTCCTGTTTTTTTAGTTTTTCAATATCAATTTCAATATAGAATTTGAAATGGTCACATTCCAAAATTAATTCATCGATTTCTTTGTCATAAAATTGTGACAGTTTTACCGCTTCTCTTGAAATTTCAATTTCAGTTAGGTCAGAAACTTTTTCACAAAAACCGAACCTTTCAAATATTTTGTTACCGTTACCTTTAAGGAAAGTTACTTTGTCTTTTCACTCGTTTCCTAATATCGCGGTACTCCATTAAAACAGATTTTTCTCTGGATTTTGATTTATAAAAATCAAAACCGTCTCTTTTTCTCCTATATATGCCATAAATGATTTAATAGTTATTTACCTAACGATTGCGGAGAGTGATTTTTTTACCACACAACGGCAGTTGGTCGGTCAAGCCTTTAAGGGCGGTAAAGACACTTTCCGCATGTGTTCAGGTACAAAATTTTACCTATGAGCATCTACATCTCCAAAACAAGGCAAAGTTAACTTTACCGCACACTTTGCAGTCCACTTTACCGCATACTATGCGGTAAAGTGCTTCTTTCCATTTGCAAATAAGGGCGGAAAAGTGCACTTTACCGCACGCTCGTAGGTAATAGTTATTTACCTAACAAATGCGGAAAGTGATACTTTACCGCACGCAACGGCAGTTGACCGAACGACGCGAAGCGGAGTTCGGTCAAGCCGTTAAGTGCGGTAAAGGCACTTTCCGCATGTGTTAGGTAGAAAATTTTACCTATGAGCATCTACATCTCCAAAAAAAGGCATTGATAAAATTAATTAATGAAATTAGATAAGATTTAGAAATGATCAAAAATCCATTTTCTGAAAGAGAGAGGATATATATAAATATCAAATTCTACTTTACCGCACACTATGCGGTAAAGTGCACTTTACCGCACACTTTGTATTCTACTTTACCGCATACTATGCTGTAAAGTTAACTTGTGTGTGTAAAGTGCACTTTACCGCATAGTGTGCGGTAAAGTGATACTTTCCATTTGCAAATACGTGCGGTAAAGTGCACTTTACCGCACGCTCATAGGTAAAAAGTTTTACAGTTGTAGACAAATTTCAGTTTTTTCTAAGTCATCCATCTGCTGTTTAATGTTTTTGCAGTAAGACGTGTATCTGCTGATTGCAATTTGTCATTCTTAAGGTATCAAGGCTCATTTAGATTTCTGTATCCACAATTTAAAGCTGTAACTGCATCTTCACGTGCAGACCAACGTGTTTTTGATAAGCTTTTCAGTACCTTATGATCGGAACTTAAATTTGAATTCATTTCCCAACGGTGCATTGACGAGGAAAAGAAATTTAGAGGTTAGAGGTTTTGAACAAAGTCAAAGTAAATTGTGACATTCAAGTTATGCATTCTATCGCTACCCGCCTATATTTTTTTTTTTTTTCCTTTTTTTCTATAAAATTTATTTTAAATTGAGCGTGGACTTAGCGATGAGGCCCCCTTGGCGCAGAGGCCCTGGGCCCGGGCCTAGCGGGCCCATGCCTTAAGACGTCCCTGTGCCTGTCTTAGCCAAAAAAAGTTTAGGAAATAATTCTTTGCTTGGAATTTTCTCAGTGCAGTGACAGTCTGACAGTTGACAGTAGTGGCTGAAATAAAACAAACGTCAGTTGTCAGTTAGGGCGAGTCATGTGAAACAATTAAAATTGCAGTATATTCATAGGAACAATAAATAAAACCATTGTACCAAATTTCAGCGCTGTGCGACAATTTTAATTTTTTTTGACTTTTTGAAAAATTCCGCGCGACGTGTTCAGGCCAATAAGTCATTGAGTAATTAACGAAAAAAAAAATCCGCTGGGGTAATATGAGAGGAATAAATGGGCTGCCGATTGACGAAAACTGTCACCAAATATTTGGCCCCGTTTAGAAATTACAGTGAATGCAGGAAAGGGGTAGTTTTCGATGCAATTTACAATTTCCTCGCACATTAGGCAAGTCCGTGCTCGCTTAATTTTCAAGCAAAAAATTCGGACAAAAAAGCATTGGAGAGTGCATTTCATTAGCAATAATGTGGGGTTTGAAAAATTGAAATCGGATTATGCATTCGGCCGCTGCCGCATCAAATGCGCGCAAACAGGCGAAACGTTGAGTCAGTGACCTTGAACAAAAACATGCAACTATTTATTCAAGACTCTGCAGTAAAAGAACTATAAAAGATAGAGGGGTGCGTCGCGGAGTTTTACATAGCAAAAAACCTCAGCTACAACAATCATTTGAAACTTTTTCGTTATTGGACCATCCCTTTAAGCAGCGTTCTCCATAAACCGCAAATTACCCCTATTATGCACTAAATTATCCACTATCCACTATGCGTTGTATAAACAGGTGTATTCAAATACCTATGAAGTTTTAAAAATTATCGATTATGAATTAAAATTGGGCATTATGCATTATTAGTTGGCTAAATCCACTTTTAAAACCACCCCTAACTAAAAACCCTATGGAAGTACAAGGTCGCAAACTTAATATGTTATTTAGCATATTAAAATGGACTGATCCCCCCAAAAAATGTTAACTTCTAATTATGTTGAGGTAAACCCTCTTTTCAGATCCCCGTTTCTTGGACTAATTCTACTGACTTAGATTTTGTGAACCATTTTACCTATTGTAAAGGTGAAAGCTGCAGGTAAAATTTGAGGCACTTGGTTACTCTGATAGCATTTTTATAATTTTTAGAGCCAATAAATACCTATGTTGGAGACAGCTGAACCAAATATAAACATATATGTTATACGTTTGGAATCGGAAAATTGTGCTCTTCAAGAATATAGAATCAAATAATATAGGGCATTCCATTTGAAAAAGGTTGAAAGTTCGCAAAATTTCGAGTTTCTGACAATGTTTTTTTTTTTTCTGACGATGGATTCTAAAAATTCAGCTAAAACTGCACAACTTTTGGATTTACACCTATCATCTTATCATCTACCTGGTACAGGCTGCACTCTGCAGGTGGTGGGTCAAAATATAGTGAATAAAGGCCCATCCTCATGGAAAAGAGCACAATTTACATTAGCACCGGCACAATTGAGCACAACACGAGCACAATTGAATGCGCCAAAAATATTGCCAAAAAGTCAAAAAAATGAGGGGTGGAGTCTAGTCAAGCTGGCCCCCGGATTTGTTTCAATTTTTTTTGGTGCATAGGAATCATAGGAATAAGCACGATTCGCATAAACACCGGCATAATTGACCACAAAACGAGCGCAATGGAACTACAACTAAGAAGCATACAAAACCAATGGCACCAATGAGAAATCCCAATTCTTAATTTTGCATGAAATAAACGTTGTTTCCTTCCTTAATATAGGTATTATATTAGTTTAAATTTTCCTATAAAAAAAAATACATGTACAAACTATGTATTTGTAACTATTCTTCAAAGTCATGATTATCATATTTTTTTTTTGTTTCCTACATAGAAAAATACCTAAGAACCGTATAAAAATAATTTACCGTGTTTTAAAAACCGGCCAAATCAGTCAAATGACTTTTATGTGCTTTTAGGTCCAGTCGACTCCAGTCCAGAAAAAAAATATAAGGATAAACCAACTATGGTTTCTATATTATCCCTATGTTCCATGCAGAGAAAAAAATAGTCAAACTTTGACTTTGGGTCTAAGTTGAAATACCTATTTGAAATGTAATGTTAATTTTGTTCTAAATCACTACCTACTCAATAAGATCAAGCCAAAAGCACTTTATTCCATAAATGTTTCCTCGTAAGTTGATTTTGAAGGCTCAAAAGTTAACCCCAACTAGGCTATGTCCAATTATCTGAGCTACAGACAAAGCCTAGGAGAGGCTAACTCAAAATTCCCTGTTACTCTCACTAGGAATCTATCACTGAGAAACTGATAAAATCTATTCGCCAATGTGTCCGGAAGTATTTTTTATTTACACCAGGATGTAGCCCATTATTCTCACTTGGGCATCGAGCAAATTAATAATTAGTTTTTTGTATTAGAATATTGAATGTATCCTTCGGTTATACTAATTGCTAAAAATTAAGGCATTACCAAAACAATTCTGCATTATTTTTTATCACAATAGGGTAGGTATTATTAGTTTATTACCACAACAAAAGAAGTGTTTTCTTTGAAAATCTATCACAAAATCACAATTAGGTATCACAAATGACTGGAAAGTAGAACGTAATTGTCGCATCACCACAAATCTCTGATAGAGACTGATTATGGTCTTCTAATACTAATATCAAACAGGGGGGCTCCCATCATGTACGAGTTGAAAGAAGGAGGAGGACCGATTAGTCCCTATTTGTCCCCCTAATCCCCAATTGACACACTTAAACTGATTCCATATCGTCTCATATGAAAAATACAATAAAACTCAGCCCCGAAACGGATCTGATGATGTAATAGAAGTTGGCGCCAGCAATTATAAGATCCTTGTTTTGACGTCACACTTATTTGTAAGCAAATCAAGGTCAATCTCTATGGGTATCAAATCAACCAACTTTCTTGTCCTGCAACTGATTTGTTTTGTAAGCAACAAAAATTAGTAACTGGGATCGGTTTTGATTGGACGGATGCCACGATGACAGTCAGAAAAACTGGTTTGCCGCAAATTTTTGAACAAAGCCAATAAATTGAACCAATACTGCAAAAATACTGGTTTTTGGTAATAATGCAAAATGAGTACTTTTAAACTATTTTTATGTGTTATGTGTTATGGCCAATAAATAGATCAAGTTTGCAGCGAATAAGATATTTATTCTAGACTTTATTATCCAATTTACTTGTAAACGGTAAAACGAGAAAGTACCTATTGTAGGTTTTTCTTCAACGTCTTTATAAAATAATTTTATTAGACTTTATGATTTGAGACAACCTAATCATTAGAAAAATCTAAGAAGAGTTTTAACACAGATAATAGTAGGTCTGTTTCTGCAGAAATCACAAACCAGTCAGAGCGAAATGTCATTGGTTGAAAACAGTCAGAAAACTAGTTTCAACCAATGAAATTTACTCTGACTGGTTTGTCACGTTAATTGAAGAGGTACAAAAAAATGGTAAATATAGTTGTTGGGATTTTTATGAGGAATTAGGAGCATTTATTTAAAAAAAAATGGAAAGGCGAGTTTAGAAAATATAGCAAGAAATTTAACATTTCTTGCTTAATTTAAATGGAATGATCCATTTTAGAATATATTTTTGGATTCTACATTAAATTTGAGCCCTGATATATGTTACATGTCCTATAGTTAAATGTAGCCATTTTGGAGATATCACTAGATAATTAATGATTTTTCAAAATAAATTACGAAAAAAAATATATTTCATCGTTGGAAGCTGGTAAGAGTAGTAGGTTCCCGTCTAGTCTTGCTTATTACTATTGTTTTTATTTATTATATCGAAAATGCATCCAATATTAGATCAAATACGCTAAATTTTGCTTCAGTGGCGTAGCTAGGCGTCGGCGATGTCGGCGACCGCCGACGGCCTCGCGCCCTAAGGGGCCTCGCAAAAAATAGGTAACCGAACCTGAAAATTGGCACTTTTCAATTTCCCAAAATGAAACGTAGAATAAACTTAATCCTATATGAAACTTCTTTTGATATCATAGAATTCGTGCAGTATTTCGCTGTATTGTACATTCTACAGTAATTTGAGAGTTTGTCCAGCATTTGATTTCGTTCAGCAAACCTGCTAACATACAGAGATACTGTCATTTTTTTCTAGTAAATTACTTCACTTTACGCACTAATGCGTGAGGTATTTGTCTAAATTTATTTTTTTTACACATATTTTATTGGTAGTAGAAAAAAAATTGCATGCAATACACGTGTAAAGTCAACCTTTTTTCATATTTGTTGCATAAATAGCTATTTCGGCGAAGTCCGCATTTTGTCCGGATTTCTTGACCCCTTTGTCCTGAATTCCGAAAAATCTTTATGGAAACCCTACCTTCGGAGGGCTTGCTGGCGACTCACTACCCGCCCCTGACGTTATATCCAGTTTTTTCACAAGAGATATGGCCACCCTGCAGTGGCGGACCTATGGCACCAACCATTCTGGTGGGGGGGGGGGGGGGGGTAGAGCTTCTCAACCAGTGGCGGCTCGTGGTCTATACCTTGTTGTGAACTAGTGAATTTATTATTACTTATATTATCAATAATCCTAATGTTCGCTACATTTTAGCACCTCAATAAAATATGTTGTTAGGATAAGTTAATTTTAGGAAATTGTAAAATACCCTTCTTTAGGTAGGTCCTAACTTGCCTTCCTCGGTGGGGGATAGTTGAAGACAAGGTATTCAGATTTCGAGCTTCACTCTGAACAGTCGGGTTGCCTCTCAACATTCTTAACTAAGTGTCCCCCCTCAACGAGAATTTTAATAAATGAAACATTTTTATACAATACAGAGTTTAAATTATCGAAGTACGAGATTGGAGCGCGCGGAAAACTCCAGGTACTCAACATTCGTCGCATCGGTCAACTCCCGATTCCCAACAACCTGAAGGGGTTCACACCCAAAGTAGGACCCAGTGGGCGATGCCCACCGTTGTTGCGGCCGGAAGCAAAATTTTTTTCGGGTGCCACGCTCAAAACGTATTTTAAGCCTCCAAAAAATAATTTGTGTGTTTTTTTAATAATTAAAATTTTCTTGGGCCTCTCTGGGAAAGGTGTAATTTCCCCCATTACCCTCCCCCCTCGTGGATCCGCCACTGCCCCCCTACATAAAAAGGGCCTCGCAATTCGGATGTCGCCGACGGCCTCGTTTGGTTTGGCTACGCCACTGTTTTGCTTTAATCCAGCCTCACCTTTTACCAAGGTAAATTACGTAAAAGGTGAATCAGGTGAAGCTGGATTTAAGCAAAATTGTGCTTGTAGATCATGTAAAAAATTATGAGTCGATCGAAATTTACATTTGTTAAGTTCATCGTTAATTTCTCTGGTAGTGGTATTTCGGTATTTCACATTCTGGACAGTACACACATTTCATTTGTTTGTTAGGAGCGACACAAGAGCAATTTTCGAATCAGCATTACTAACAGAAATTATTGGTGATTTATATATCTTGATATATGAACATATTGAGCATTGAATAATTAGATTTTTCAGTTTTACAAAGCAAATACTGCCTTTCGATAAGTTTCGACAGCATTTCTGGGATAGTTTTAATTCCAGAAATGTGTCTTTCACAAGGTACTAGCTCTACTGATTTGTAAAATGGACAATTCATCATATTAGCTAGGTTAGGAAAAATCGGGCGCGAAATTTAAAATGGGTTCCTAAACACATTTCAACAAATTTGACAGCAATGTATTTCTTATAGGGGATTCAAAAGAGTGATTTTCAGACGGGAATATCTGGGATTCTGGGCATTTCTTAGTATTTGAACATATTATACGTCAAACTTTGAACATATTTCTCTATAATTCATGCTCTAATTGTTTCTTTAGACCTATGAATTAAAAATACAAATGATTTTAATTAAAAGTGTCTGTTTTCGGTGGACGTACGTCGGGTCTAAAATCAGCTGTAAGAAAGTGAGGTTGTGTGTTGTGTTATGATTGTTGGTGAATTGTTTATTTATTTATTTATCACTAGTTCAGTCATTTGTTTTTCCATTTTTTTGGATTATTGAAGTACATCTACTAACCAAGTATGTAGGTACACTTTTATTTTATTATAATTATAGCTACCCATATATATACTTATGGATCAAGCAACGACATACGTATTTTATACAAAAATCGGCTTCTTAAATTGGTAATATTTTTATTTCAACAATGTTTATTCAACTTTCAAACACTCTCTCGGTTAATTAACATATTAAAAAAACTATTTATATAACTCACTTCCCTAACAAACGTTCTATCACGTCTACAGACGCTTTTAAAATTGACTCTCCATAAGACATCAATGTAATAATTTTTGAATTAGGAACCCGCGCCAATTTGCGATTCTAACCTAACTAATATGGTAAATTGAACGTAAAACCTTTTTCTACGAGCGTGCGGTGAGTTGCTATCTATCCGTCCGGGCTGCATCTAAACATTCCGGTATAGGACTCGGCACCTAGGCATATTTCATTGGTCCGTTTGAATTCGGACCGCCAATTAATGCGGAGTGCCGAAATCCGTACTTGAATGTTGAACGGTGCTGAGCCTCAGGTCGGAATGGTATATACATATACTATGTAGAGTGCCGAATCAAAGGTCAAAATGTTAAACAGTGCCCAGCTGCAGGTTGGAATGTTACTCCGTTAGCGCGGCACAAAATCAACAAACAAACTTTATTTACTTTGTTTTACACATTTATTTTATTTCAACGATACATTTCAAAAAATCTTGGACAATAATTTGCAGTGGCGGACCCAGGGGGGGGGGGGGGGGAATATAAAAACCTGAAACCTGGCAAATAATTAGAATGGAAAATTTTGAAAATAAATACCCTAATATATTTATCTTTTTTTTTTTGGTATCTTTGGTCAACGCTTTGGTGCTTAGTTTAATTAAAATATCAATTGAAGCCAGGCAACAACAGTTTTTGGATTTTCCTTTCTTATTATTTCCTCGATCCACTTTTTTATAAGTACTATGATGGCATACAAAAACATATCTAAAAAATGTATTTTCCAAAGTCTATTCGCATCCAAGAAGATTCTACGTAATTGAATTGACATTGAACACAAACCTGCATTTGAATCTGTTATAATTATTTTTCGCTGACTTCACATTCCAATTCGTGTATGTTATATCACTATACTGTTCTATCCTTTGCTTTATATCGTTTTCCTCCAAAATGTTGGCTCGGTGAATTTGCTCACCACATTGAAAGTGTTTAAATGATCCAGGCAAACTCATCTTACATGTTTAAGCTCAAGATTACATGAAACCACGGCGAAATAAACAATAAACCGCATCCGCCGCAAAATTGTAGCTAAGAGGAACACGAAGGAGGTGGACAGCTGATTTAATATAAAAACCGCGCCAAACGCATGGCAACATTCGGACCTGATACTCAGCACTGTTTAACATTTTGACCTTAGATTCGGCACTCCACATGGCTGTTGCTAATGGACCATTCTGACCTGAGGCTCAGCACCGTTCAACATTCAAGTACCGATTTCGGCACTCCGCATCAATTGGCGGTCCGAATTCAAACGGACCAATGAAATATGCCTAGGTGCCGAATCCTATACCGGAATGTTTAGATGCGTCCGGGCTGTCATCAGGGGCGGATGGGGAGCATAAAACCGGCCCGGGAAACCGTTGGCACCGGCCTGGCCTGCCAGATCAGTATTTTAAAACCATTTTATGTATTTTTCTCAAACTAAGTTTTACAAGTAGGTACCTATCTAATGGTAAATGATGGGGTGA